AGGGAGGGTCAGGTTGGACAGGGAGGGTCAGGTTGGACATCAGGGGGAAATTTCATCATGGAAAGGTGGTCAGGCCCTGGCCCAGGCTGCCCAGGGCAGTGGTGGAGTCACCAGCCCTGGAAGTGCTCAAAAAACGTGTGGATGTGGCACCTGGGGACACGGTTTGGTGGTGAACCTGTCAGTGCCGGGTTAATGTTTGGGCTCGATGACCTTGGAGGGCTTTTCCAACCTGAACGATTCCGTGAATCCCTTTAAGCTCTTTAGAAAGGAGCTGAGCACCTGGAAACTTTGGAGAACCCCAGCTGGGTTTCAGGAAAGGATCCTGGATCCTGGCTGATCTCGGAGGTCTTTTCCGACATAAACGACTCTGTCGTTCTACGAAGAATCACAGACTGATCCTCCAGGATTCCAGGATCGATCCTAGAGGTGGAGGAGGGGGGTGGATCTGCAGTGGCACAGGGCAAAGCCGCGCAGGGCTGGGCACAGGATTTATCCACCCCCCCAAACCCCCCCGGCAGCTCCGGGAAAACCAGCTCAAGGAACGGTTTTCCAGCTCAAGGAAAACCTCCTTCCTCTCCCATCGTGGGGGCAGAGCGGGCCCGAGTGACCTCCCCGGGGTGACCCCCCCGTGCCGGGGGTGCCAGGCGGTGCCAGCGGCCCCTCCCCGGGGGAGGCGGGTCCGGCCCCGCGTTGCGCAGCGCGGGGCTGGCGCTGCCCGGGGCTGATCGGGGTTGATCGATCGGGGCCGCTCGGTGCGGTTCTGTCCGGGCGTGTTCGGGACTGATCGGTGCGGTTCTGCCCGGTGCTGCCTGGTCCTTCTCGGTGCTGCCCGGTGCGGTGCTGCCCGGTGCCTCTCGGTCCTGCCCGGTGTCTCTCGGTGCCTCTCGGTGTCTCTCGGTCCTGCCAGTGTCTCTTGGTGCCGTTCGGTGTCTCTCCGTCGTGTCCGGTGTCTGTCGGTGCCGTTCGGTGTCTTTCGATGCCGTTCGGTGTCTTTCGGTCGTGCCCAGTGTTTCGGTGCTGCCCGGTGTCTCCCGGTGTCTCTCGGTCCTGCCCGGTGTCTCGGCGTCTCCCGGTGTGTCTCGGTGTCTCTCGGTGCTACCCAATGTCTGTCGGTGTGCCGGTGCCGTCCAGTCTCCCGGTGTCTCTCGGTCCTGCCCGGTGTCTCGGCGTCTCCCGGTGTGTCTCGGTGTCTCTCGGTGCTACCCAATGTCTGTCGGTGTCTCTCGGTGCCGCTCGGTATCTGTCGGTGTCTCCCGGTGTCTCTCGGTCCTGCCCGGTCTCTCGGTGTCTCGGTGCTGCCCGGTGTCTGTCGGTGCCTCCCGGTGTCTGTCGGTGTGTCGGTGCTGCTCGGTGCTCCCATCTAGCGGGGACACCCCGGGCACCGGCCGCCGCTCAACACCGGCCCCTTCTGTCCCTCTCCCCGCGCAGAGCCGGACCTGGAGGATTGCAGCTTCGGCTGCCGAGGGACGTCGCCGCAGGAGAGTCTCTCTTCCATGTGAGTGTCCTTCAGGAGTCCTCCCCGCCCGCGGGCACCGCGCGGGAACCCCGGGAAGCCGTGGGATGACACAGCAAGGAAAGGGAAAGAGGCTGGGGAGGAGGAGGAGGCGGCTCCTTCCCCGCTCCTCGGGGCTGGGAAGGATGGGATGGGATATGATCGGATGGGATGCGATGCACTGGGATGGAATTGGATGGGATGGGAGGGGATGGGGCTGTTTTGCTTTCCTAACACAAGCCAGGACTAACAGGAACGCGAGGCTCACCTGGAGTGGAGCAGAGGAGGCTGAGGCAGGGGGGGGATGCAGCCACTCCCAGCATGAGGCACAGGAGCTGTGGGAGCAGGGAGTGGAGGAGGATGGAGCAGGGAAGCCTCTCTGACACCCCCCAACCCTCGCCCAGGTCCCCCATCAGCAGCCTGCCGACCCTGTTCGACCAGACCGTGTCCTGCAGCAGCAGTGGGCAGCTGGAGAATGTTCCCCAGGCCACCCCCAACATCGAGCAGCTCTTGGAGAAGCAGGGCAACGGGGAGGCCGGAGTGAACAGTGAGTCACTGAGAGAGGAGAGGTCCTTGTGTGTGTTTGTGTGGGAGCCAGCTGGGATTTTGCCCACAGGCAGCGGAGCCGGGTGGGAGACAAAGCACCAGTGTGTGCCATGGGGGAGTAGCTGCCAGTGGGACTGGGGGTTGGGGCCAGTCTCCTCCCAGAGTGGGGTCTAACTGTGGATCCCGTGATCCCCTTCTCCTCTTCCCTCCATCCCCCTTTCCCCTGCCCCCGTCCCCTGCCCCCTTCCTTCCCCTGCAGTTGTAGAAATGCTCAAGGCCCTGCACTCGCTGCAGAAGGAGAACCAGCGGCTGCAGGAGCAGATCATGACGCTGACGGCCAAGAAGGAGCGTTTGCAGCTCCTCAACGTCCAGCTCTCCGTCCCCTTCCCCGTGGTGACCAGCAGCAACGGCCCCGGCAGCCAGGCCCAGTACATCCTGCCTCCCAACGGTGAGGGGACAGGGGGACACACCCCCTGTGCCCTGGGGTGGGCAGGGGGGTCACGGTGGGGGGGTCTGACCCCTTTACACGCTGTCCCTGGCTGTCAGGCTCCAGCCCTGACCCTGCACCCTCACTTCTTTCCCCCCTCCAGTCTGCAACAACGATTCCCTGAGCATCAGCAAGAGCCCCCCGTGCAAGAACAGCTTTGGGATTGAGAACTCCCTCTCCACTTCCTCTGAGGTAACACGGCCCCTGCACCGGGAAGGGGCTCAGGGAGGGAGCAGTGCAGTCCCAGGACTCTGACTCGGTAGCCAGCTCCTAAAGCCTCGTAGCCCAGGCTCAGAATCAGGAATCTTTCCCCAGCGTGCCCGTTCTTCATCTCAGTGCTGAGGTCTGAGTAGAGTAGCTGAGACCGGGAGCGTGAGGTGAGAATGCTTCCAGGTTATCCTGGAGATCCAGCCAAAGCATGTCTGAGTTCTGGGACCCCTCTGACCTGCACCTGCACTCACAGTCCCCCCCTTCCCACCTCCAGCTCCCGCCCTCGGCGCCCTCGGAGCTGAGCCGACCTCTCGCAGCCGCCCCAGTCCGATGCTCTTGTGTCCGTTTCTCCCCCAGGACCCTCACTCAGGGTGTCCCAGCAGGAGCAGCTCCTCCCTGTCCTTCCACAGCACCCCTCCGCCCCTGCCCATGCTGCAGCAGAGTCCTGCCTCGCTACCCCTGCCCGGGGTGCAGCAGGTGAATGGCCTGGCCCGGGTGGCCGGCGGCGGGCTGGGGGGAGGCACCAGTGCCAGCCACAGCCTCTCCACGGTGCCCATGGTGGACGGCCTGATGGGGACCCTGGCAGGAGGCCAGCAGATGCCCATCAACGGGATCCTGGGGAACCTGAACGGAGCCCAGGCCGCCCAGCCCGCCAGCGCGCCGACGCAGGGGCCGGGCGGGCCCCCGGCCCTGCAGCTCTCCACCAGCCTGAGCAGGTGAGGACGGGGGGCTCGGGGGCACGGCCCTGCCCTCTCCAGCAGCAGTTTAGCTCCGGGAGGGAGGGAGGGACGAGCCCTGTGCGTGCAGGAACCGAGAGGGGCCGCGCTGACCTTCCCTGCCCCGATCCCTCGCAGCATTCCCAGCCTGAGTCCCCTGACGGAGCAGCAGCGGCACGTCCTGCACCAGCACGAGCAGCAGCTCCAGCAGCTCCAGCAGCTCCTGACTTCCCAGCCGCTTAATCCGGTGAGTGCTGAGCTGTTCAGCGGGAAAACCTCGCAGCAGAGGGCAAAACTTAGGGCTGCCTCCTTCCCCTGAGTCCCCTGCCCACGGGGATGCCGAGCCGGGCGCCTTTTCCCGGCTCCCGGATGCTGTGGATGTGGAATGAGGAGCAGAGCTTTAGGCAGGAAGGTGCAGCACCTCCCAGGGAGGGGAGCTGGGGTTTGAACCGTTTTCTTTGTACGAAGGGAAAAAATTTAATCTGGGTTTCCCACGTCCTGAGGGGGGTGAGGAGGTGGGAACTTCTGAGCCACCGTAAAATCGGGGTGGGGAGTGAAATGCGTTGAGCTCTTACCTCCTCCAGCCATCCTTGGATGCAAATCGTGTCTGATCCTGCTGCTGGGGGGGCTGGGCTCTGGGCTCCCAGGTGTGCTGAGGCCCACGGGAGGTGAGGAGCACTCTTGAGGACACTGTCTGAGGTTAGAAGGAGGTAAACACCAAATTGCTCTAGTCCTGAGGCAGGTGATCCGTGTCTGGGCGCATTCACCCGGAGAACTGGAAACGCCAGCAGGACTCTGCAGGTGGCTGAGGATTTTGGGGTCAGGAAAAGGACCAGGCAGCTGCTCTGAGGCTCTTGGCTCTGTGCCTGCACCCTTGGGGGCCAAAGAGCAGCCCTGTGGTGGGAAAGGCGGCGTGGAGAGGTGGCAGACCGGGTGTAAAACCACAGTCAGTGCCCTGCGGAGACCTCGGCGCTGCCCCTGCCCTGGGTGGAGCCACCCAGGAATGCCACCAGCTCCCCTCAATGGAGCTGGGCTCTGCTCCTTTCTGTCTCCCTGGAACCTGGCCCGTTGCTCTGGATGGGTTTCTGGGTCAGGCTATTTATATCCCGGGAAAAGCAAGTTTCAGAGGGCCTCTCTGTGGAGCAGCTGATGTCACCATGTCACCGTGCCATCAGCTGCATCCCCGTGGGGGCACAGCAGTGTCAGCTCTCAGCCTGCTGCACTGGTCGATGGTTGCCATAGCGATTCCTGCAGTTTGCTGGGTTTGAGGGCGTCCCTCTGGATGCAGGTGAGGTGTGACCCTCGTCCCCCACCCAGGTCCTGGTCACCTACACCCCCCCTGTGGGTCAGGGCTGAGCTGGGAATTGGGATGAGCCGGGGGAGGAAATTAGGAGCCAGTCTGGAAATTCAGGATTGTGAAGGCCACAGACTTAAAATCCCCGGGTTGATGGATTGGGAATTGCTGAGTGGATTTGTGTGCCTGCAGGTGTCTTGGTGAGGGTTCACTAATCCTGTGTGTCGGGAAACAGCGGGGTTGGAAAGGTCATAGGCACAGGCTGTTAATGAACACAAGGCAGACTGATCCTCTCTCTCCCTGTAGAGGTGGGATCAAGGGGACTTTCTCCCTGTCTCCAGTAGCATTGCCTGGGATAGAGCATGTCATGGAATCACTGAGGTTGGAAAAGGCCTCCAAGATCGAGTCCAAATGTCAACCAAATCCCAACCGAATCCCACTTAACCATATCCTAGTGACACCTCTGCTTGCTTTTTGGACACTTCCAGGGATGGTGACTCCACCACTTCCCTGGGCAGCCCTGTTCCAGTGCTTAACCCCTCTTCCAGCGAAGAAATGTTCCCAAATACCCCCCCTGAACCTCCCCTGGCACAGCTCGAGGTGCCACCTCCTCCCGAGCGCTGTGTCCCCGCTGTGACTCGTCTCCCTCCCCCCTGCCCGCAGGAGCAGCAGGCCCTGGTGTTCCAGATGATGCAGCAGATCCAGCAGAAGCGGGAGCTGCAGCGGCTGCAGATGAGCAGCTCGTCCCAGCTGTCCATGAGCTCCCTCCTGGCCGCCACCTCGGCCCCCGCCCTGATGACCTCGGCCCCCCAAGCGCCCCCCAGCACCAGCTCCCTCCTGGCCTCCCTGTCCCCGCAGCAGCTCAACCCTGGCAATGCCCTCCTGGCCCCCCAGGCCACCCCACCGCTCAGCACTCCTGGGAACAGCCTCCTGGCCTCGGGAACGGGCCTCCCACCCGTCCTGACAGCACAGCCCAACCCCTTCCTCAACCTGCAGGCTGATGGCAACACCCCGAAAGGAACGGTGCGTATGCTGTTGGCACTCCCCTGACCCCCAGAGCCCTGGGCAGGCACACCTGTGCTCCAGGTTATTTGGGGGAGCCCGCAGGGAGCAGGGCCGGGATGCTCCTTGGCTTTGCTGCATCCCCGATCCCGCATCCAAGGGCTCCCAGGGCCCTGGCAGGCCCAGGGGCTCCCGGGGTGTCCTTCCCTGTGTGTGCAGACACAGGACTGAGCCGCTGCAGCAGCCGGGCAGGGACAGGCCATAGGTTTGGCTCCCTTCTCCCCGGGATTTGGATGGGATGAGGTGCCCCAGGCAGGGACAGGCCCCGAGGAGCCTCGTGAGGGAACACGAAGGTGGCTCCGTGTTGACACCCAGGGGTTAGGAGGAGTCTTGCACCCCGGAGGAGAGGTGGAGAGGCTTCCAAGCTCTCTGTGAACAGCCCTGTGCCAGGACACCCGTGCCCAGGGGCTGGTGGGGCGACACTTCCACCTCCTCCTTCCCTCCCCTCTACTTGTGCCTGTACCCGGGAGGTCCAGCCCTGGTTGGAGACATTTAGGAGCCACAGGCCGGGGCTGAGGGGCCAGTTGGGCCTGAACCAGGCAGAGGGAACCCTGGGGCTGCCGTGTCTCTTGGTTTTGGAGGAGCCTGAGAGGTGCCAGCGAGCAGGGCCGGGCGTGCAGCACATCAGGGCTCTCTGATTCCTGTCTCCTCTCATACCTGTCTCCTCTGCGTCTCTTTCTGTTTGTTTGTTTTTGTTTTTTTTTTTTTTTAAAGAACATGAATGAAAAGGGAGCTCCTCTTACCCAGGACAAGGGCTAAGCTCCCCCCCTGACCCCGAAAAAACCAGCAGCCAACTCCTCTGCCCAGGGGAATGTGGCTTTTCCGCAGCCAACCCTGACACTGTTAAAGCAATGAGCACAAGGCTTCCGAGGAGCATTCCCTGCGCTGGGCCACGCCAAGAGGTGCTTTTGGGAAGACAGAACGTCTGTGGCCGAGCCCTGGTGTCGTGAGGAGTGAAGGTTGGGGGGGGTTTCCCTGCCAACCCGCTCCGTGTGGAGGAGGGAATTCCGGGAATTCCACCAGATCCTGCCTGACCTCCTCCCCGCTGTGTGTAACCCCCCCGGGCATTCCTGGGGGTGGGAGCCCCCCTGTGCCAAGCCCGAGGAACCTGGCAGTGCCCACGGAGGCAGCACTGGATGTGACAGCGCCGGGAAGGGGCGTGGTGGCCGTGCCCAGGTGGGGCCGTTGGGAAGAATTCCTGGAGCTGAGATTTCTCACCCGCTGGGCTCTTCCCTGTGTAGCCCCAACAGCTCAGCTGGAGCCAAATCCAGCCTGGAAAGACACAAGTGGGAGTAATGGATGAGGAGTGGAGCTGGGGACAGGGTGAAGGCCACCTGCTCCTTGGAAGGACATTGCCACTCCTGCCCTGCCAGCTGCTGTGGGGTCGGTGCTGCCCTCACCTGAAAAGCACATTCCTGCTCTGGGCCGCCTCTTCCCTTGCAAGATTCCCAGAGGATAACAGTTCAGTGTGCAAAAGGGGCTGGAGCCGGGATTTATCCAGCGCCAGAAGGTGCATTTGAGCCTGGAGGTGGATTCCTGGACCTGAGCTCGGAGATCAAAATGTGTTTGGGGAAGAGAGTCCCAAACCCCATCCCTCTTCTTCCCTACCCACCACAGATCACTCCAGTCTGGCAAAAACCGTGTTCTTCCACTGGTCCTGGGCTCTTGGGAAAAGGGGATCTCCAAGGAATGGGACAGTGACCAGGATCCTGAGCCGGGACATCGGACCCTTCGTCATCCTCCACCTTTTGACCTTAATTCCATCTTTCAGCCCGGAACCTCAGCCAGGAATGGGCTTCCTCTGAGCCTGGATGGATGGAGGGATGGAGGGATGGAGGGATGGAGGGATGGAG